ATTGATATGTACAACTGATATGTACAGCTGTGGATGAAAGCCACAGCAGCAAGAAGGGAGAGAAATCTGTACGAGCCCCACAGCGTCCCTCAAAGCATGCCCGGCAGAATCCTATTGCATTAAAAGGAAGACTGCTGTCCCTAGTACTAAGGAGTGACAGAGCTAGAAGCCAGGAGTTCTGGTTATGGTCCCCTGACAGGGAATCAAATCCAAAAGGGCCTCAGCTCAGTTGACAAGTGAAGCTGATGCAGAGAGCTGATAAAGACCAAGTCAGAGATCAAGTACCCCTGGAATCCAGTTGTCTTCTCCCAGAGAAACCCTCTGTCTCATGCCTAGAGACTGGATTTATGCAAGGTGTGTCTTGTGCTATCTTTCTAGCTTGCTCACACCATGCTTTACTTCACCCTCGGGCCTTCTTGAGTTCCTCCAACATACCGTGCTCCCTCCTGCCACAGGACCTTTGTACATATGGTGGACTGATCTTTTCGCACTTCTTGGCCAAGTTAGCTCATACTCTTCCTCTTGCAAATCTCAACTTAACAATCAGTCCTCAGGAAAGCCTTCTTTTATTCCCTAGTCTACATCAGGTTTCTAAAAAATGCATTCACAAAACCATATTCCCTTTCTTCACAGGACTTACTTCCGTTTGTAATAATACACTCATTAGTGTGATTATTTGGTGAATGTCATTCTGAATCAGCAGAAAATTTGTTACTTTTCACTCTTATATCCCCATGGCTTATCGCAGTGCCTGGCACAAACTAAGTGCTCAGTATATAGTTATTGAGGACTGTATATTTACTTTTTACTTGACGTGGATTTATTTAATAGGTCCCATATTGGACTAGGTAGGAGCCCAGGTCAACTCATTCTTAGTTCTGAGAACAGAGTTCAAAGGATCCTAGGTATACCATAGTTTTCATAATTAAGAATCACCCTTTTATAGCAATTTTCTTTTATTGAAAAGTTGGGGCTGCCTCTTACCCTAGAAAATCACTAATCGAGAAATGATTTATTATTGTCCTGATGTAGTTAACCCATTAAGGCCAAAGTTTAACCACTTTAAGCCAGAAGCTGTTAAACAAAACAGGGACAGACTGGCTACAGACGGAAGGAAGAGGATTCAAGACCAGGTGCCATAAAGCTAGGAATGCTTCCCTCTGATATGGTGCTAAATACAAAGGATGGACCTCAGACACCCTGCAGATATCTGGTAACTAGGGTATAATGAGTAACATCTTGCAAAGAACATCAAACTGCAGAACCAAAGGAGGTGTCTAGAATTGAGAAGAGGACCCAGATAATGAATTCAGCAGAGCAGAATCCACCCTTCTAACGCTCAACTTTTCTAGTTTCCTTTTGTGGTGGTCCCTGTTTACTGATCATTTACTTAGCAAGGTACTGCCCTAAGCATATATGTATATGTATATATATGTATATACATATGCTCATATATACACACACACACATATATGTGTGTGTGTGTGTGTGTGTGTGTGTGTGTGTGTAAACACCTTTTAAAAAAATTCTGACAATCCTCTTTTTCAGAGCTCCTCTCTACAGATCATGAAATAGAAGCTTGGCTAAGTTAAAAGACATGTTAAAGCTTTACACAGCCAGCAAGTAGTAGAGCTGGGTGAGAATTTTAAGCTTGTTGGACTCCAAAGAATCTGTTCTCAAAAATAATGCCAATGTCACACCAAATGCTAGTCACTAGAAGTTATGACTTTTTAAAAAACCATATTGCAAGGCCACTTGCCTTAATATTTACTAATACTTTTCTTTACATATATGCACTTTGAAATTTAAATGGATTTTTCAGTATCTGTAATATCATAGGATTGATACGATAGTTGTATTTTATAATATTCATTATCATAAATACATAATTATGAAAACAAAAAACGTCCATGTAGTATTTAGAAGAACCTCGCCTCCCACCTCAGGGATGCTCATACCATACTTTGGGAACCCCACATTTTTCTATACTGAACCATGTTTCTTCTGCCTCCTTAGTGGATAAGAGGCATTATAGAAATGGTGCTAAACAACGTATGATTTATCAATGGTCGGTGGCCTGTCTGGTGGTTGGTGTTTTTCCGAGGCTATTTTGAAAGATGGCCGCTTCCTACCCCAGAGGCGGCTGCACTTCAGAGACGATAAGCAAGGGGGTCCCAGTTTGTACCAGTCTGCTCAGTGCTTAAGGAGGTCTGGTTGAAAATAACTGTATAGATATCAGTTATCATCATTCTCATGATGACAATGATTATTTTACATATGGCTGCTTTAAGGGTGAATGGCACGGTCTCATTTGTATGTCAGCATCCGGCAGGCTGTCACACATCTGCAGAATATAACCTCAATTGTGCTATTAATATGTCCCTTTTGCATTCTCCCCAAGGCATCTGTCTCCCAAAATGCCTAACGGAACTTCCCTCCCTCTTGAAGGCCTGGAGGCAAAATTTGGAAAGCATGTCACCTAGACTGGGGACAGCAGAAGCTCAGCTGAGCCTGAGCAGATTTCTGGCTCTTGGAATAGATGTCAAGGGAGAAAGGGAACCACCACCCACACTCGTTCTGTTAGCAGCTGCACTTCCAGGCAAAATCTGTAGGCAGATTCTCCTAGGCTCAGACAGTGTGTCGCATCTGCTCTGTGATCAACAAAAGATGCCAGTCACGGTCTTAATGGTCAGTTCTCAGTCTCCATAATCACCACGACTGGCTTACGGCTGCATTCTCTGAAAAGCCTTGGGGAACTCTGAAAAGCCTTGAGCACTCTTCTGTGGTGAACGTCAGGTGTCTGTGTACCTAAACCAGGTCTTTTTACTCATTTGCAACAGCTATACTACATTTCCCAGCCTGCCTTGCAGTTAGATGTGATCATGTGACTGAGCTTTAGCCAATGGAATGCACACTACTTTAGAACCTGGCTCGTAGGAGTCTCCCATGTGTGGTCCTACACAATCTTCCTCTTTTGCTGTACAGATGCAGAGAAGCATGGTGACACTGGGGAACCACAAGATGGAAAGAACCTGAATCTCTGAATCACTCATTGGAGGAGGCTGCCTGCGGATGGAGATCATCAATATTGGATATTACAAGAGAAATAATCTATATGTTTGAGCCATTATGGAGTCTATTTTATATCAGAACATTCAGAGCTGTACTGTAACTAATATACACTTAAGGTGAAATTGCCAGGTTCTATTTCATGATTAATTATCCACTGGATAGCTCCACTTTGGTGACCTACCAGTATTTCAAACTTGACACGTCCAATCAAAATGGTACTTTCTGTATGTCAGAATATTCTAGGTACTGGGATACAGGAATGGATCATATAAAGTTCCTTCTGTCATAAAATTCACATTCAAATATGGGGAAACCCCAAATACACAAATTAAAAAAACGAATTTCAAACAGTGATACATGTTATGAAGTTAACGGGGATAGAGGGTTATTGGGGGTTACTTGGGAGTTAGTGGGAGGAAGTGCCTCTGAGGAGGTGACAGGAGACTGAAGTCTATATGATGACACATAGTTAGCCATGTGGACTCTGGGGGCAGAGTATTCCAGAAAGAGGGAACAGCACATGCAGAGAACGGAAGTAAGAACAAGGTTTATCCAGGAACAGAAAAGAGGATAGTTGGCTGAAGCAGAGTGAATCAGGGCAGATTGGTATGATAGGATATCAAAGAGGGATGCAGGGCCACTATCATGTGAAATCTTGCAGTCCAGAGTTAAGAACTTGGACCTTATCCTAAGTTCAGTAGGAAAGCTACCAGTGTGTTTTAATCTGGGGAGGAATAATATCTGAATTACATGTTGAAAGGTCTACTCTGTTATGTGGAACACGTATTGTGTAGGAGCACGAGAGAGAATGGAGACTAGACAGTAGATTACTGCAGTCACATAGGTAAGACAACAGCGGCCTGTACTAACTAGTGTGGGTCGGTAGAATGGAGATGGAGCAAGATGAGCTGATTTGAGATATATTTTAGACGAAGCAAAGGCAGGGCTCACAGATATCGGGTTGGGGGGTGGGGAGGCTGGAGAGCGGGAAAAAAGATCAATATTGACTCTTAGGTCAGTTGCTTAGCTACCTGGATGGTGAAACCCTTAACTGAGGTTGGGAATTCAAGTGAAGAGTCAGGTTTGTGGTGGGATGGACCACATGATAGGTGCTGAATAAATGACCGATTTTTAATATTAAATAGACGGTCAATATAGTAGGGTGAGAATACTGGGTCAGATACTCATTCAGCAATTGTCTCGACTTCTCTAAATTTTAGCTAAACAGAAGATAATAATACAACCCCATAATGTCAATATGGGGTTGTTATATCAAATATACTCTTGGCAGGTAGAGACTGAAGAAGTGTGATGGGGACATGAGCGTTGCTAATAAAGTTTGGTTTTCTGATCTGGATGCTACGTGCACAGGAGTGCTCTGTCTGTGAAAACTCATCACGCTGGACAATAATGATATATGCATCTTTCAAAATGAGATTCTATGCATTATATTCCCAGTTCAGTGCTTGGAATTCAATAAATGGCAGCCATTATTATTTTCATTATTACGATACAATGAAAACCATCTCCTGTGTACCTGTGGTCCATAATGTCCATATAGGCCATTTGTGAATCCATTAACTAGAGGCAGGAACCCTACGCTGAACTCTAAGGTCTGGTCTTATAGTTGATAAAGTCAAATCTAGTTTGTAATTCATGACACATAAATGCCTCTGCATGAAGGGATTGACTCAGAGTTCTAATCCAGAGGTAGCCCCGGTCCACTACTTGTAATTCAGTAGTTCCCTAACTTTGTTTGGATGAACGAGTATCACAGATGCCAATGTAATTTAAAAGGGAACAGTTCTCCACAAGTTCTAGGCCTTCCACTGTGATTGCCCCTTTCTATTCCACTTTCCCCCAAGCTTGCTCATACCTGAATACTCTTGATTCAAGCCAACTGGTTATTGGCCCCAAAGAAAGGATACTAAAACTTTGATTGGTTATTTCAAAGTTCCATAGGTTAATCCTCAGGTCATCAGCTGACATGTAGGTTTCATAGTCGCTGTTGACTGATATGGAGTTGATGTGATATGTGTGTGCATTGGCAAATACTCTTCGCGGGGTGGCCTCCACCATCAGGTCCATGGGTCTCAGGACAGGCACCTGGAATGCAAGAGAAACAAATCACTTCAGAACCCAGAGCTCTTTACTAGGAAAAGAGTGTGCATGTTTATGTCCTTTACTATCATATACAAAATCATGACTACGTCAAAGGAGCTCTGAGCCAGAAAAGGAGATTGATAAATTACATGTTGTTCCTATTCCCTTTGGTTCCTTTTAGTTTTATTCCTTCCTCAAAAATGTCACCATCCCTTAGCCCTGATGGGCAATTTCATCCTTTATAGATTCTAACATGTTTTTCAAGTGGCCCCTCAAAGTGGCCTCATCTCAGGGGAACTTAGAATCCACTGTGGGGTCATTAGCTTCCAGAGCTGTTGTTCCAGATTGTTTGTTTTTTAACCATGAAATCTATTTTTGAAAGGAAGTTGTAGGAAAATTTTAGAAACGTCTAGTTCAACTGAGATTAAAATTTATCCTTCATGGCTTTGGAGGTCTAGACCCCATCCTGGCTTTATCCTCAATCCTTAAGGGAATTTTGGGAAAGCATATAATCACCCAAATTTCTAGTATCCCAAATTCAGCCATTAATATACAGGGCACCCACTGACATCCTTGGTTTAACCTGTTGTCTTGGAGTACCAACAAGGCAGTATCCACTTGCACATCAAAACTGTCCTCCTTTGGACAATAAATTATATGATCATCTTACTGGTATATGAAGGATAACCAGTAAATATTTGTTAAGTGAGTGAGTAAGAATACGTGAGTAAATGTCACCTTCCCCATGGGTCAGAGAATCAGGCAGTTAAGTATAGTTTTGCACGCAAGAAACTCTTCCTGGCAAACAGGAACAAAGACCCACCTCTGTTCTGACTCCCTCTTTGAATTCAAGGGCACTTCTGCCTACACCTGGGTGCACTGGCTCCTGAGAAAGTAGTGGGAAAACTAACGCCTCAGAGGAGACAGACTAAAACACAATGCAACAAACACAAAACATGGGCCTGGCCCTTTAACAGAAATGAGAAAATAAAAGCACCAAAAGCTATTTTCTTTTCAGGGAAGCCATCTCCGGCAACTGAGCCCTGATTTGATACCAGGTTGTCCATCAAGACTTCAAATTCTGGATTTCTGTCAACCCAGTGGGTGAGGGAAAGAAGGCGGAAACAAAGGTTAAATTTTGTGGAGTGCAGTCACCTCAACAATATAACCTTTTACAAAACAGAATTCTTCCAGCTCAGTCTTGAAGGATTTTGAGGTAGTTTTTAAGTTAAAAAACAATTCAGAGGAATCACAGAATTCTACGCAAATGTGGCAGTGGATATCCTGGAAACCAGAGGAGCTTGAGATGCGGATGTAGGAAGAGCCAGGGGTCCTCTGAAAAGCAGCAGTGGGATGGGAGGGAAAGTCTTTGAGAGCCCTTTACCCTGTTCTGGATAATGGTTCTATAGTATAAGCCCAGGGATGGCAAGAACTAGGTTCTGACCACAGATTCGCCCCTCACTGACAGGCTGTGTGACCTCTGGCAATTATCCTGCCCCTTCTGGGCTCTGGTTATACTACCTGAAATACTCACTGTGCCCTACTTATCAAGAAGGTTGGGATCTGTTGAGATGATTTGCCCTTCAGTTCAACCTCCCACTCACCCTTTCAGCAACATTTGCTTGAGCTCTGTACAAGGTCCTGGGGGGTTCAACTGGTGAGCAAAACCAGACACAGGTCCTGCCTTCACATGGCTGGTCCAGGTGCTAGAGGTAGGTACAAAATCATCTCATAATAAAATGTAGTAAGTACATTTTATTTGTAGTAAGTACAAAAGGAGAGGAAATAGCATTAAAGGATTTCACCTGGCCAGGGAGGTCTGGAGAAGTTTTACTGAGGAAGTAAGAATTGGTTGGTTAAAGTATAAGAAGGGGTTTACTGGGCCAGGAGGGGAAGGAAGAATGCTCCGTTCAGCGGAAAGAGCGTGTGCAAAGGTCCGGTGGTGAGGGTAAGGCAAGAATGAAAGATCGATGGGTCAACGTAGTTGAGACAGAGAGTGATGAGAACCATGGTGGAAGATGAAGTGACAGGGGAGGTAAGAGGCAGGCCCCAGGAAAGATTTTTGCCATCATCCTAAGAGAAATGGGAAGAAATCAAAAGATTTCCAATGATTTTGATATGATCAGGTTCAAAGTTTTCATGAGATCATTTCTGATGTAGAGTAGAGAACAAGTTAGAGGATGAGGGAAGCAGAACTTTGAAAAGGAAGGTGATATACTATCGAATGCCAAATGAGGGTGTGTCTGAGTTAAGGCTTTGTAATGGACAAGAAAAGTACCTTTGCCCTTAGGAACTCTCCCGCAAATATTTATTGGGCATTGGCTCTGCGTCAAACATTCTTCACACACCATCTCAGTAATTGTTTCAACAACTCTGTGAAATAGATACTAGTAGTACAAAGTACTATTACAAAGAGAAAACTCAGGCTCAGAGAAGCTAAGTCACTGGCCCAGAGTTGCCCAGCTATAGGAGGCATAGCCAGAATTTGATCCCAGAGTCTATCGGACTGCAAATCTAGTGCTTTTTCCACTGTATCACACCACACTCAAAGAGCATACATGGTAAGACGTGATAAATGCTCTGTAAGGGATACGAGTACAGTGCCCATAGAATTTATGGAATCAATAGGATTATTGGTAGTAATAATGGTAGTGGTAGTCATAGAATTCTGTGGTTAAGCTGCCTCTAGAAATCTCAGTTTGGTGCTGTAGGTGTTCATGTGTGCTTTCAGAGACACATGCCGGCTCTCGCGGCTTGTCATAAAGGAACTCCCCACCTGGAGCTTTTGAGCTCTGCTCAGCCCCGCAAGGTAGAGGAGCTCAAAGCAGGCTCCCCAGGGCTGTGGAAGAAATGGAATCTGTGATGACTTCCTGTGGCTTCTCCTCAACTCTTCCCTGGGCCTCCTTCATTACCATGCACTGTCCGCAGAGGCTTCCCGTGGCTCTGGTGGCAGGGAAGGGTGCACGACAGCCAGGATAAAGAGGCATTACCAAGTGGTAACTGCCAGCCCAGAGTTTCGGTTTAATGTGATGGGCCTGCCTGCTAATTCAGGCTGACATATTGCATGATGTGGCACTTAATGGGGAAGCTCCGGGTAGGTATCTGGGGAGGGAGTGCTAATGCTTTGCCCAGATGAGGCAGGGGATGAACGTCACTCATGATATTCCAACGCCATTCCCATGCCCAGGTCAAGGCTATCCACTGCCCAGTGACACCCCTCACAGGAAGGAAGAGGGAGGTAAGGCAGTTCAAGCTGGACAGGATGACCAGTTAAGAAACCCTGTTGGGACTGTGTTTTCTACTACTCCTTTTGGGGCCAGGCAGGAAGAATAGTGGGACACAGTTCCTTGAGTTCGGCCCACAGGCAACCATTTGGGCTTTCCCTGTGAGATCATGGAGGGCTTCCTGTAGTAGCAGTCACTGCGTTACAGCACCCCTGCCCTTCAGCCCTCTCAGTAGCCGACCTCACGAGGAAGACTCCTTGTTTGCCATTTTACAGGAAAGGTATCCTGTCCGATGTCACACAGAGAGGAAGATGAGGGGCTCAACTTGGACAATTTGGTTCCTGCGTGAGCACACGTGACCATTGTTACAAATGAAACTCTTAGGCTGAAATAGGAGAATGTCATTTCTGCAAGTCAAAAATTGTCAAAGCTCAGTAATTTCATGTGGTTCAGCCTAACAGTTTGAAAGGACTGTGCCATACGCATGTGACATTGAATCACGGAACACTGAATCTTGGAAGGGCCATGAAAGCCTCTTTCAAGGCTGTCGTGTGTATAAGTGTTATGTTGTGGGGGGGCAGAGTGGGAGGCCGTGGTGCCTAGGCCTTTCCCTCTTCATCATTCCTGGTAATATGTTTGGATTCTCAATCAATATCTTGCTTAAATAACTATTTCTGTGGTTAAGGAAATTTTGAGACCAACTGGCCCAGACAGTTCCTATATTCTGCAGATGAGCAAATCAGGAGCCCGAGAGGTTACATGCCACATCTATGGTCACCCAGTTGGGGTTGCCAACACAGCCTGGGTTTCTGCCACTCATCCCAGAGCTTCCCTTCCTCTGCCCCCCGACAGCAGGTGCCTGAGTCATTCTCCACAGAACCAGACAAACTCCAGGATCAAACCAGGACCTTTAAATGGTAGTTCAAACCCTCTTTTCTGAGATATCTTGGCAGTGGCCGTGGGCCTAGACTCATCCCTGAGACAAGGCTGGTGCTGCATTGTGCTTGCGAATGAGAATGCGGGTCAGCCCTTGGCCCTCGGGGGGTACAGGTGGTTCTGGACTGCGATGCCGGAATTCACGGCCTTCCCTCAGGTGCCTCATACTCCTCCCTGACCTTGATTCAGTTTCTGCTCATCTCCCAGAGCCTGATTCTGAAGGATGAGCACCCTGGCCTGGTTGGCAAGATAATAAGCATCGTGTTAGAGTATCAGCCGGATAATGTCCCAGGGCCCAAGAGAGCAGCCTCAGAGTCTAACCTGCCACGGCGCTTACAGAGATGTGTCTCAGCTGGGGTATTAGTGGATGAGAGGAGCCCAGAGCACCCCGTGGCTCCCTCCATCACATCACTCAGGGCTCTGTTCAGTGATCACCCCCCGAGAGAGGCCCTCCACGCCCACCCCACCTCGCATAGCACACCCTCCACTCACCATCCTCCGACCCAGCTGACTGCTCATAATGTTAAGCAATTCATCAGTGAATCCTCATCAGTACCCTATCATTTAGCTTGGTGGATAATATGATCTCTGCTGCACAGATGAGGAAACAGAGGCCAGAAAGGTTAAGTAATCTGTATAAAGTCACACAGCTCATACTCATGCCTGGCACTCCCGACTCTGGAGTCTAAGTCCTTGGCTGCTCTGTCCTCTGGGCTTGGAGGATCACCCTCAGGTGTGCGGGAGAGATAAGTACGCACGTGGATGTCTCAGTGCAGGTGCACTGCCCAGGACAGTGTCAGCCAAATGGGCCCCGTGTCTGCTTGGGGAGCTCAAGGGGGGCCT